TTTGTGAATTTGTTTAGTTTCTTGGTGAAACTTTGTTGTCTTTGTGACTTAGCTAGTAAATCCCTTATAAAACCTCATACCTTAGCCTCTTTTGACCAAATTCGCCTTACCCAAATCCTTCTTATTATTACTTTATTCATAGTAATACTTATCCGGCTGTAATTAATTATTATAGTGTTTAAAGTCTATAAATACAATTTTCACTACCAGTCGCTTAGTTTTCTTTGATTTCTTTAGAAGGTAAACCAAGGTTAATACTGATATATTTATAATATTGGGTACCTATTGGATATCTATTGGAGAAGAATAAATATATTAGGTACCAGTTAGGTGATATGTTTATTTCAGTGATGATCATTAATTAAATTATTTTATATAATAATATATGTAAAACTTTGCTCATATGTCAACACTTAAATATTAAATATTAACAAATAAAGTTCTTCTAAATAACCTTATTTTCTAAGTTTTAAACTATTTATTTATTAAAATAATTTTTTATTTTTTTTCAATATTTTGTTTTCTATAGTTATTTAAATTTAGTATTGAACTTTATATTTATAACAAAAATTCTTTTGACTTGAGATATATTAAAAGTTTTTAAGTACCTAGATCATTATATTTATTAAATTATATCACAAAAACTAAAAAAAATCATATCGTTATATATATATAATTTGTAATTTAAGTTTTATTATATTTTAATAATTACAATTTAATAAAAAAATTTTTTAACCTTTTTAAACTTTATTGACATCAGTTTTTTTATGTTGATTTCTATAATATTGTATTACTTAAGTTTTATTTCATATATCAGATATAGGTATATTTCCTTCAAATGCAATAAGATATTGTTGTATTTCTTCTTTAGTTGATAAAAAAGAATGCATAACCATTGGTGCCAGAATTTGAATTCCTTCTTTTGATGGAATTTGTCATGTTCTTTTTTGAGGAGGATCATCAGTTGAAATTATTACAGAATCTGAAGATATTCCAGAAACAAAAGTCTGTACATTTATTTCACTTGATTTTTTTCTTTTATTTTTTTCTGCTCCAATATCTTTATATTTTGTTACTAATACTTCTTTCACTCTTCTTCTAACAGTATTAATCATTTTTTTTTAAGACTTCATAAGTTTTATACAGTGTAATTCTTGTCCATATGATTCTTTTAAATGTTTAACTCTTTCAACACATATCTCTTTGAATTTTGTAATATGAAAAAGATTATAATCATGTTTATTATAATGCTAAATATCAAAAGCCTCTGATAAGTTATTCACAACATTCTACATAGCTTCTTTTCAGAAGTCTACTGATTGAATATAGTAGTATTCTTGAATATTATTTAAATATTTATTAAGTAACATTTCAATTCTTTCACATTTGATTTGTGCTACTTTTATTTGTCACTTAAGATTTTTTGTATCTATTACATTTCTATTAATATTTTGTTTTATGAACTTAACACCAAATATTTTCAACACCTCATCAAATACAAGAAAATGATCTTTTCTATCTTCTGAAACTTTAAATGATGATATATATTGTAATTTTTCTTCTAATTTTGAATATTTTTCTAAAATTCCAAAAAAATGAGCTACTAATTGTGAATAATTAGATTTTTCAATAATAGAAAAAAGAGGTACAAATGTAACCAAAGTACTTTTTTGAATTTATAATTTCCAATTTGAATTTTAACTTTATATTCAAGAAAAAGTTCAATCCAGTGGTAAAATAAATATCAAATTTGACGTACTTGATTTTTTTCATAATTTTCACCTAAAATATTATTTATATGTAAATTCTTTAATTTAAGGTGTATTTATAATACAATACCTACTGCAAACCAGATAAGTTCAATAATTTTTACAGTAACTCTATAATCTATAACCTTTTTAAATTTATCTAAAAATTTAGTACCCATCACAACATCCAAATCAAAGATTTCATAGTTTGAAAATATTGTAATAATAGTTGATGTCATATCTTTGTTTGTATATCACATTCCTAATATTGAATGCAGGTTTGGTCACTCTTTCATTATATTTATTAAATATCTAAAAATTGACTCATTACCTATAATATTTAAATAATCATCTAAATTTAATGAAAAATTTTTTTTATACATATCTGCAGATTGATATATACCTTCATTGCTATTAAAAATTCCACCAGCTTCTAATATCATTATATATAATAGAGAACAAAAACATCCATGGGTTAATTTTTCTAAAATTTTATTATGTATTGTCATTATATCTAAATTTGTATTATATTTCAGTTCTCCATTTGTATCATCAAAAGTTAAATATTTATCAAATATTTTATCATATAATTTTAAAATTTGATATGCACTTTCATTCATTCTAAAAATATGATCTGAAGTTAATTCTTTTTCATTATTTTTTGTATCATTTATTGAAATAGGTAATTGAATTTGAAAAGCCATTCTTAGAGTTGTATGTGAAGTATTTCTAGTTATATCAAATATATTACCATAAGTAAAAGTTTTTTGTTTAAAATTTATATTATCAATAATAGCGAGATTCTAAATATTCTGAGTTTTTTGAAATATTGATATAGTATCGTACCAATATGTGGACAAGGGTCTAAAGGATAACTAATATTCTTTAACTAAACTAACTTAAACTACTTAAATAATTCTCAGAATTTCTCGAGGATTACTAAGATCAACTTAATTCAATTATTTAATAGTGTATTTGAATGAATATTACAAGGTGAGTTCTTTATTGTGCGGGGTTTTAGCACATCAAATCAGCTTGTCCGCTTAATAAGATATACAGTGGGTGATCAAAAATCACCGGACAGTTGAAAATTTTTAAAAAAATTACTAAAATTAAAATGCTGATTCTA